GTTAAGGATTCATTAAGAGATAAGTTTAAAGAAATAGGTATATTGACAGTTGCATCACAATACATATATGACAACTTAGTATTTGTAAAAAAAAATATTAATTTGTTTACTAAAAATAGTGAAATACATACATATAATACTAGAAATAAAAATAACTTAACTTTACCTGCTACTAGGCTCCACAAAATCAATAATTCGTTTAGAGGTCTTAGTGTTCGCTTTTACAATAAAGTTCCAAGCAATATTCAAGAGTTAAGCATGACTAAATTTAAATCGACCATTAAAAAATTACTAGTTAAGAAAGCATATTATAAAGTGTCTGATTATATTACAGACAAAAATGCTTGGGTATGAACTGTTCCAACCATTCCAACGGGTATTTCTATATGATTTAAATTATGAATTATGTGTTGACAATACTATAATTAAACTGAAAGCTGTATATAAAGTTAATAACTTAAGTAAGATTACCAGACTGTTTAAGAATATTTGATTGACAAAACGGCGTGGTCGTGATTTCTCCTTTGCTTTGTTTTGTAATTGTTTGTTGTGTCTTACTGGTAAATGACCTTAATTTAAGTAAATATGTTGTAGTTAGTATGGGTAGTTATGGGTAGTCATGCTCTCATAATAGTCTCTTCGGCGGTGTCGTGTGAGGCGGGTCGTTACGTTCCCTAAAATATGGTTGAGCGAAGCGATGGCTGGTTCATGCGTCATGCTCGTGAACGGGTGCTGCCAGCGGAGATGAGTCTGCCCTAACTTCCTTAATATTGAAGTTAATGTTTAGTCACACTGAATATAAATAACACTATTTGTATTTATACTGTATGACACAGCAATCAAAATGCAGGTAAACAATTAATGTATATTTAATAATTATGTAATGAAAAGTGACTTCATGAATCACCTCTGAAGTCATTTTTCAATTTGACGACTCTGTAAATAATAAAACAGGGAGAAAAAAACAGCCCTTGCTGAGTTTCTTGCCGGTTCTTCTCAGTACAAGGTCTCCCGCCGTAGATTTACGAACCGATGGCGTAGCTTCTAGACATTCATATGTGCTTGTAACAGCCTAAACTGAATAAATGATTTTGATTATGATTATTATGATTAGTCGGCCTTCTTCACTTAGTAATAATTTTAAGTACTATTGTAATTCTATAAACTTGTATTTTTTTGGACTTTCGGTTGCGACCACACTTAAGTCGTTGGTGGAGGTTTGTTGATATCTTTGGTTCAGGAACGCCCTTGTTTGTGGGATACAAATGACCAAATTGCCCAAAGCAATGACAAGCAGCAAGCGCGCTTATGTTTTTCGGCTAAGGCTTTCAGTCTCCATACATTTTCGAGTCCCGGGAAAAAAAGTCGAGACCCGGACCGGTCCCGGGATACTTTCGAGACTTTGAAAAAAAGTTTCATACTCAAGGTTTATACAATTATGCAATTAACACAATATGTTTCAATTAAGTTATTTAATAAAAAAACTATTACAGTATAATCAAATATAAGTAAAATAAACACTTCTTCATTATCAGTATTTATTACCGTCTCGAGTAGATAGGAAAACAAATTAAAAAAATTGGCGGATATGACGAAACTATAAGGTTTCCTTGTAAGGACTACGTAAACCTAAATAGAGATCACAGCAAAAATCATACGTGACCATTTACGGAACAAAAAAAAAAAAAGAAAATTAAAAAAAAACCAGCTACATAAAAAATTAAATTAAAAATAACAGAAAAGTCAAGGACTTTTCTGCCCGCTTAGCGCGTTTAAAATGGATTTCCATACTTTTCCAGCCCGCTTAGTAGTACAAAGTAATGAGGTCCTTACTATTTAATTTTAAAAGCAAGAATAAAACACTGTCCGCCTGGGTGTAGTATAAACTACCTATAGTTTTAATCGAAATGACGCGAGGGCGACTGTTACAACAATCTAATAATAATATAGTAGAAGATAATTTTATTACAAAGTATCTGTCATTTTGACGCATGTAAATACGCCAACTTTTGAACCGCTCATCATTTATTATGATAAACAGCACTGTACCTATATGGTAATTATTGTGACCTACATAGATAATGTTAGAATTTTACAACTAATGTTTCTATCCAATTTTAGAGGACACTTATTAAATGCTTATCTACTTTATCACTTTTATTGATATTCTTAGCATGTTTAATAATAAGTGTCAGGATAAATATTTATATTAAAACTAGCGAACTTCGTATCACCATAAAATATGGATGGTAGAAGGGTGAAAATTTAGGATTGTATCTATTTTTGTATGATGTATCGTAATAAAATAAGAACAAAAAATTATGTCAAATAAAACAATTTAAGGGTGGACCACCTTTAACATTTAGGGGGATGAAAAAAAGATGTTGTCCGATTCTCAGACCTACTGAATCTAATATATAAAATTCTCGTGTCGCGGTGTTTGTGGTTAAACTCCTCCTAAACGGCTCGACCGATTTTCGTGAAATTTTATGTGCATATTGGGTAGGTCTGAGAATCGGACAACATCTATTTTTCACCCCCCTAAATGTTAAGGGCAATCAACCCCTATTTTTTTTTTTCAATTTTAGTTATATTTTTTTTTTATTTTTTTAAGATACCCCGTACAAAAATACATACAACCCTAAAGTTTCACCTTTCTACCACCAACTCCTATTTTTTTATGGCGGTACGAAGTTCGCTGGGTCAGCTAGTATGCATATAAAATTTTACGAAAATCGGTCGAGCCCGAGTGAGTCCCACACACGCCGTGCGCCTCGCCAGCGCACGGTACGGTCCGTCAAGGGATTTCTCATTGTCAAAAAAAAAGTATTTAATACACCCATGTGAAGCAAAGTGCGTGCTCAACTTTTCGAATAAAGCGCACAAAACAATTTAATAAACATTTGTATTCAAATGTGTATTTGTTGGTTTTTAAAGTTTTAACGAGCTCATAGATATTGATCTTAATTATGCTATGTATGTCATTTGAATATATGAAGTGCCTATTTTTTTGTGAATATAAACTTGATATATTGTAAAATATAAATGTTTTATGGGTCAAGTTAGTTTTCATACTTTTTCTAACAAAGTTTGCTTCCGTAACAGTTAATAGACTCAAGATTTTTCTGAACTTCAGCAATTCAATTAAAAAAAAAAGCGCCGTTTGTCACTTTTCCGACAGCCGACTTACGGTTAAAGATATTTATTTTCTCAAAAGAATTTACAAAAAGTCCACTTACAGAGAATATAACAATGACAAATAATATCAAAAAATGTATGTAGGTCTTAGATTAAAATAAAACAAAAAGGGAAGATACCGCATTCGCGGCTCAAAATGAATCCGCTTAAATTGAGGTGTATGACCACAGTTCGCTTTTGTTACAATTGGACATTCAAACACGCTGCATGTGCATTCAGTATAAACAATATTGCGCATACTCCGGGTAATAAATATAATACAATGCCTTCGATGCTTTTATAAATAACACCAATAGTTCAAAATCAAATTAAAATGCCTCGGCAACACTTTGCATTCGTAGAAGTGTAAAATCTTTTTTTTTTCAAAAATCTCGGTTTGCCGTGAATTTTATTTACATATCCGCCATTTTGTAATCAAGAAAAGGACAACCATACAGCTCAGCCGTACGGACTCAGACGCAGACACGCCGTTTCGCTCGCGCTGCGTTGAAGCGTACAGTATCCTTAGTACGAGTTTGAGCTCACGAAAACTATCATAGTTTTCGTAATTGTAAATTATGTTTCTATGTCCATTTTGGTGAAAAGTAACCAAATATTCTTAAAATTTTCATAAATTAAAAAAAGACGTAAACGAGTTAATGATAGAATTTAAACACTGTTTATTTGTATTGAAACGAAAACAATAAAATCAGTACCCTTAGTACGAGTGAGAGCTCACGAAAACTATGATAGTTTTCGTAATTGTAAAACTCGTACTAAGGGTACAGTTCTGTCTCCCTTGTCCGATTGAATGTTTATTTACGGACTTGTGCGTGTGTGAGAGTTGCTTATGTCGTATTGTCAACATAAGCAACTCTCACACAGTCGTAGCATATTTAATTTGATGCTTGTATGAGCCTACCGTATCGTCCCTTTTTGTTTTAATCTAAGAGGCAGGTTAACAAACAGAATACAATGACTAACTCTGCGCATGCGTACAGCGGACATACACAAAATGAAACAGTACTATTACGGGATATTACATTGCGACCAATTTAAAATTAAGATATTGCAAAATAACATAATAATAATAATGACAGCGGAAAACCAAAATCGCTTATACGTCATTTTGGTGCTGCTTAAAAATTAACCTTAAATAGATACTGAAATTAAGTTCATTTTTAAGCAGCACCAAAGTGGCGTATAAGCGATTTTGCTTTTCCACTGTCAATATAGTTATTATGATGCAGGCGTGCGCTATGAAAGGATTTTCCAAACTAAATTTCTAACCCTCTGACGGGGCAAAACGGATGTTCAAAATTTGTAGTGGAAACTAATATTTTCACGCAGACGATGTCGCGGGCACCCACCAGTTTATATTTTACTAGCGGCCGCCCGCGACTTCGTACGCGTGGTAGTTAGAAATAAAGGTTCACTGCTCGTTCCCCGTAGGTGATAGCGTGATAATATGTAGCTTATATGTTGACCCGACTTCTTAATAATATTCATGCCCAATATGAAGTAACTCCATGCAGTACTTTTTGAGTTTATCCCGGACATAAATACAGACAAACAGACAAAAATTCTAAAAAACCCTGTTTTTGGCTTCCGTATCGATTGCAGATCACAGCCCAAGTATTCTATTAAAAAATATTCAATGTACGGTTTTGACTTTCATACCATTTTATTATATGTATAGATTTTTATTAATACTTTAGTTTGATACTATATAATTGTTTGACTTGGTAATACCTACATTAATTTGGAGAGTACGAGTATTTGATAAAACGAGAGAGTTTATTAATATAGTATATTTGTTCCAGGGTTGCGGTTTTGGTTGCCAGCTCCATCACATAGTGTATTGTCTGATATTTGCGTACGCAACAGAAAGAACCTTAATACTGAACTCTAAAGGTTGGAGATACAATAACAAGGGCTGGGATTATGTGTTCTACCCGATATCCGATAGTTGCACCAGCGTGTACGACGATAAAGTTATACAGTGGCCAGGTAACTTGAACTTTATTATGTAGGTGTTAGAGTTGATTATTGAGAATGGGTAGGCATGCTTCGATTTAACATGACGTAATATAGTTCGTAATAATCGAAATATGGTTTTATTTAGAACAATGCTTCCTTATTAGAACGATAAGGATTTTACTTTAAATAACTTACGATAGTTATTGAGCGCTTTGCTTGCTATAAATCAACAGTACGTAATATACTGTCATTGAGTGAACATATCCGAGCAAGGTGTAATCTGTAATCTATATTTAATGGAATATAATTATCTAGAACACTTTACAAACCAGTGATCACATGTATGATCTATCACTGTTTTTGAGTTCTAAAATACGCAAAATACATACATACATTAATTCTCATTAGCGAGCTCGATGGCGCCAGTGGTAAGCGCGTTCGGCTGCGGTCGTTGAAGTTAAACAACTTCCGCAGTGGTCGGTCATTGGATGGGTGATCAAAAATTTACTGTCTTGAGCTCTTCCATGCTTCGGAAGGCACGTTAAGCTGTTGGTCTCGGCTGCATCTGCAGTCGTTAGCACCGGCAATCCATACTAGGCTCGCGTGGTGGGTCACGGTCTGATCTCTCTATTCCGTCCATAGTGAAGGCCTGTGCCCCAGCAGTGGGGACATTAATAGGCTGATGATGATAATGACATTAATTCTCATCATAGTAGGTTAACATTGGAGATTTTATAATACCAACCACGAGAGTGATAGAATTGATCAATGGTTGAAACTACTAAAATGGTATGATAACCTCCGTGGCCGAGTGGTTTGTACGCCGGGTTTCATGGTGTCGCCGACTCGAGAGGTCCCGGGTTCGAATCCCGGTGGGAGCAGATGTTTGTGTGATGAATACGAGCATTTGTATTCCAGCCATGGATGTTTAATATGTATTTCTATATAAATATACTTATGTATGTACTGTATATGTATTCTATCCGTTACCCTAGTATCCCATAATACAAGCCTTACAGGGCTTACTTTTGGGATAGTCTAATTGGTGTGAGTCTTGGAAATATTTATTTATTTAGTTAAATTTGCCTTAGAATGTACAACAATACCATCCTAAAATCTCGTTGAGACAAGTCTCTAATTAATATACAGTTTTCGCAAAAAAACTTTTTCTCGTTGTATTTAAAGATAAAAGACAAATTAGTTGTAAGAAGTCCTTTAATTTTAATCCGTATTTTTTACGTTTTTCAGTGTCATATGATGCCAAGGTTATATCGTTGCCTTTCATCGACTCAATATCACAGAAGCCCAAGTTCTTGCCACTAGCTGTACCTAAAGATTTAGCTCATAGGTAAGTGGCTCCCTGATAAACGTATTTGCGTGTTAACAAATAATTGCTGAGTGTAAATATTAACTATCTGTAAAGGTGGATCCACACAAGCCGCCGGATTTGTCACTCTTAGAATGCCTCGCCACTACGCCGCTTTCCGCCACTATGGCCACAATTTTCTCGGTAGTATTTCAACTTTCATTGAAGTTAGTGGTATACGTAAGATTGGAATTTGTTGGGCTATAATATCATTGTGTGTTTTGCATTTCGTTTTGTACGTTTTTCTCCACACCAAAAAGTAAATAACGCGGATATATTGGCTTAGACCAAGCTGCAAGCGAAATGCCGCCGGCAAACAAAATCCGTAAAAGTAGATTAAATTAGTATAATACAATGTTCATCTTACTGTAGTTTATAAAATACACAAGAAATTATAATTAAATGCATATTAATAAATTGGTCCTTCGAGCAGGATAGTACGGTTCAATGGAGACCCGGCGTCGTGGTGGATCGGGCAGATGGTCAAGTTTATATTGAAGCCGCGACCTTCATTGCAGAAGGCCATCAACGAGACCATCGCTAAGATGAACTTCAAGAACCCTATTGTAGGGTAAGTTTCATTATGAATCGTTGCAGTACCTCCTTTTTTTCAACTTCCTTCTTATATTACCTACTTCTACTCGTTTACCGTGTTTTAATTTGACACTGTCTATTATATTCCTGAAACTAAATATGACACTCGAAACTTTTAACGAGATCTCGCTAATCTTGGACATTAAAATTTGCAAATTGCAAAATGCAAATTTGCAAATTAATACAAAAAACAAGGTATATGGTAACAATCCCGTTAATACCTAAAATGCATTTATGTGTAGTAAAATTTGCGCAGTAAAGTTTTTACGCCGAATTCATCAAAAATATTAATGGAGATTATTATCCACTTGTACCACATAAAAATGTCGTTCAAACATTTAAATTAATGTCAACCCATTATATATTATGGTAAATGTGTCCTTAAGTTAAATACAATTAGCTACGGAAATCACTTGATTTTATTATAACCAATCACAATTAAAGAAATGAATTCAAACCAATAATATTTGTTTTCACGTTTCTTTATACGCAGGTTCCTTATTTTAATTCAAATTTTCAGCATTTTTTATTTAATTTGTTCGAGATTTTCATGATTGAGTTTTTATAAGTATATTTTTTTATGATTGTTGAGATAATTTGTACCAAGGTACAAAATTTGACAAAAATCGAAGGTCTCCTTTCGTCTGAACTTCGTTACTGAAAGTTCGTTTCTGAGAAAGAGGTAGACCTCCCAGGTCATATAGTTATTTGACATACCCTATTAAACGACATCAAAAGTATCTTCCTCTCTCTTATAATTTTCCACTTAAATATGATTGATCATCATCATCATCAGCCTATTACTGTCCCCACTGCTGGGGCACAGGCCTTCCCTATGGATGGAATAGGGAGATTTGGGCCATGACCCACCACGCGGGCCCAGTGCGGATTGGTGGGTGCTGACGACTGCAGATGCAGCCGGGACCAACGGCTTAACGTGCCTTCCGAAGCACGGAGGAGCTCGAGATAGTGATTTTGGTCACCCATCCAATGACCGACCACTGTGAAAGTTGTTTAAGTTCAACGATCGCAGCCGAAAGCGCTTACCACTTGCGCCATCGAGCTCCTCAAAATATGATTACCACAGCGTTATTATCAATTTCCGATTGAGCGATTTGCCATTTCATTACGTTTAGATCATCTAAATTGACGCGTTTTCCAATACGCCGCAATCGGAATGGTTTTAATAATTACTATGCGTTTTATCGACCGTTTCATTCATGTGCGATATGAATTTTATGGCGTATATAGTTAAGCGCAGTAGGAGCTAACTGGTTATTAATTTTATTTACGACGCTTTAGTAGAAGCGAAAGGAAAACATAGTTAATAATATAACTTTAAATAAAACAAAGGACAATGCCAGAAGTTCTATAAAAATGGTGTACGATAAATGACATTTCATAGCTGTAATATTAGGAATCAAAATAGTAAAGTTCTAAATTCTCTAGAAGCTGTGGTTATTGAATAATATACTTACAAAGAGTACAATTATCATACGTTTCTCGAGCTGCAATTTAAGCAGAAAATTGAAATTTCTATAAATTATTCAACAGTGTCCGTATTGTAGCTGATAGTGTATAAACGACATGCCTTTGTATTCTAATAAATAATAAAATAACAATTTATGCATCTCAACATGGTTCCAAACCACAAACGACAATGTCGTACAAATCCTTTTGTTTGACAGAAATGTCAATTAAAAGGATATCAATCCAGAATAACGTTTAGTTTCACATAGGTACTTAATAATGTGTATGCGCATAAAAAATACAAGGTACTATAATCGTTCAACTTTTTTATAAACATAAATTAATTATATTTATAACCGAAATGCTTATTTTATCCATAATATTAAAAAAGAGAATGATATTTTTCGAAAACTTGACTGACATTTTATTGTTTGTCGTAACAAAAAAAACAAAACCCATATGCCATGTTTTCGTTCTTCTCCTAACGGAAACAGTAGATACAAATTATTTTAATATTTATTTCGTATCCGCCGCTTTTACAAAGTAATAATTAAATCGGTACGAGAAAAAAAGTCGTATACAGTTTTTCATAAATTTAATATTATTGTATATGGTGGGTCAGAATCTGTCATTGTCATTTCAACGGGATAGATGCACTGATTTATTTATTGAGGTTTCGCATCCTTTACAGTATGCGTCGTCTGAATTATGATTTTATTTACTTTTTATAAATAAACTAGCTGACCCAGTGAACTTCGTACCGCCATTAAAATAAGGGGAGGTAGTAAGAGAAAAAAATAGGGATGTATTTTTTTTTAATACCACATTATAAAAATATAAATATGGTCCAAAAAAAATTTTAGGGGTGTGTAACGTAGTGTTCTATCAACTTCCTGGGATAATATTCCTCCTAACCCATATGAGAACACTACGTTACAATACCCAATAGCTTGAATTTTGGCGCGAAGGCGCATTGTAGGTTTCGGAACACTACGTTACAGGTGGACAACTATTATCACTTAAAGATATGAAAAATAGATAGTAGCCGATTCTCAGACCCACGGAATAAGCATATAAAATTTGTTTCTTAGGTTTTCACGCACATCACTCATTAAATAAAACTAGTTTTTACGGGTTAATGCACGAAACTTTATTTATTTATTGACGTTTCGCAGCCTTTTCAGGTCTGCATCGTCAGAATAATGATTTTTTATTTAAAATTGTCGAGCTACCTTCGAAAGACTTATATTGAGCGTTCGGTTATTTCATTGGAAGATTTTTAAAATTTTATTGTCTATGTATGAATTTATTATTTAATTTACTTAATAAAGTATTTTATTTAAAATTCTTGTTTGTAATTTTAAGTATCTTATATAATTTAAAGAACTAATAGTATCTGATGGTCAGATACTATTAGTTCTTTTTGTTTGCATAATTTAACATAAGAAGGAGATAGAAAGCCTCTCTTGAGTTTGTTTCGCCGGTTCTTCTCAGGAAGGCCTCCCAATTTTGGAACCGGTGGTAGTTTACGGTAGTTAGGGTCAAATAAATAAACTCAAAATTACAAACAAGAATTTTAAATAAAATACTTTATTAAGTAAATTAATTAATAAATTCATACATAGACAATAAAATTTTAAAAATCTTCCAATGAAATAACCGAACGCTCAATATAAGTCTTTCGAAGGTAGCTCGACAATTATAAAAAATCATTATTCTGACGATGTAGACCTGAAAAGGCTGCGAAACGTCAATAAATAAATAAAGTTTCGTGCATTAACCCGTAAAAACTAGTTTTATATAAAATTTCATAAAAATCTGTCAGGCCGTTTCGGAGGAGTATGGTAACTAACATTGTGACACGAGAATTTTATATATAAGATAAATCAGTGCATCTATATACTGTTGCAACTGGTTTTATTTAATGAGTGGTGTGCGTGAAAACATAAGATACAAATATAAAATTACTAGCTGCATTAACGGACACGGTAGAAAACTATCCCAATTTTGATGCACTCGTTTAAAGACAGTAAATTGTCAAGTATCAGGTAGGTACTTGAACTGCGCTGAACTACAGCAATTTTGTAATATTTATATTGACTCTTCAGTGTGACCCTGGCTTCTGATTAATAACCAACTAAGAATTTAAATGAATAACTATATAAAAAAATAATCAGATTAGGCGTTTGCTTCAGCCGTGGGGATATTAACAACTTCTACCAAAGCCTAGGAACATTTGAGATACAGGAGCATTACTAGCACTTTGTCTATCCTGTAACCGCATCCTCTAACCAAGTGGTTCTTAACCGGTGGTCCCTGGAAGCACCCGAAGTAGTTCGCGAAGCCATTCGAAAATGTATTACATAAGTCTTCGAAAATCGTAAGTGGCGGTCCGTGGCAATACCCTCGACAAATGGTCCCTAGTCACTAATGTTGTAAACCGTAATCCTGGCTGAACATTTTTTGATCACGTTTTCAATTTATTATACCTTATTTTTTTTCTTAGGTTTTCACGCACATCACTCATTAAATAAAACTAGTTTTTACGGGTTAATGCACGAAACTTTATTTATTTATTGACGTTTCGAAGGCTACGTCGTAAGAATCAAATTTTTATTTGTAATAAACTCAATTTTTTATCTACTATATAAAAATAAGTCGGGTTTTCCTTCCTGACGCTATAACTCCAGAACGCACGAACCGATTTCCACGGTTTTGCATTCGTTGGAAAGATCTCGGGCTCCGTGAGGTTTATAGCAAAGAAAATTCAGGAACAATTAAAAAAAAACTTCTTTTAATCATCAAACGAAATGTTACATAAAACGAAGCCATCTGGTGGCGAAACGGAGTTCGCCGGGTTTGCTAGTTTGTAATAAAAATTTGATTCCGACGACGTAGCCTGTAAAGGCTACGAAACGTCAATAAATAAAGTTTCGTGCATTAATCCGTAAAAAAAATGTTTTATTTATTATACCATTTTCTATGTCTATTGTTTTTGTATGTCATTCCTATTTATCTTGTCAGTGTGTTTACATTCATTAAAGAAAAGTGCTATCTTCAAACTAATTTTTTCTCTTATATAAAAGGGCAAGTTGCACCTTAATGAAACATGCAAAGAGGCAGTGTACTGTAGTGCTCTTATGAAGGAATTGGTACAGTATAGTAGACCTATAGACGATTATATTGCGACAACAAGTCAGCCAGCAAATTAGCTACCAATCCTGTGCACCACAGGCGCACTAAACACATTGATGTAAAATTTCATTACATACGGGAAGCAATAGATAATGGTAAGATAGAGATCAGATATCAGCATCATCATCAGCCTATTAATGTCCCCACTGCTGGGGCACAGGCCTTCCCTATGGATGGAATAGGGAGATTGGGCCATGACCCACCACGCGGGCCCAGTGCGGATTGGTGGGTGCTAACGACTGCAAATGCAGCCGGGACCAACGGCTTAACGTGCCTTCCGAAGCACGGAGGAGCTCGAGATAGTAAATTTTTGGTCACCCATCCAATGACCGACCACTGCGAAAGTTTCTTAACTTGAACGATTGCAGCCGAACGCGCTAGCCACCTGCGCCATCGAGCTCCTCAGAGATCAGATATCTTCCCACTGATTTGTAAATAAAATTCTTACTGCAAAAAATGCCTAGCAAGGATTAAGACGGCGTGTTGTAAACCGTAATCCTGGCTGAACATTTTTTGTTCACGTTTTGAATTTTTATTATACCTTTTTGTATGTCATTCCTATTTATCTTGTCAGTGTGTTTCCATTCATTAAAGAAAAGTGCTATCTTCAAACTAGTTTTTTCTCTTATATAAAAACTAAAAGGTTTAAAACATATTTCCAAAAAGTATCAACTAGCCTATTGTGAAGTAGAACTTGGTAGATAAGTGTGAGAAAGACGAAGAAACAGGGAGGCCCACTATGTATTGGTTGTTTTTGTCTCATTCTAGAGTTGTCGTTTTCATATGATTGTCGCTAAGTTCATTCTCATTTTTTTTAATATTATGGATTCGTAGCATCTATTGAAGGTGAAAATGCATCAGTGAAACCATTTTATTCCGAAACATTGTCAAAATATATGAATAGTTGTTATCTTAACTGGAAAGAATATTTTGATGAAAGATCAAAAGAAAAAGGAATATGGTATAAAACCATACAGTGTCAGCCTCTACGAATACCGTGGTTTATTAATTTAACATTAAGTCGACACTTTGTAGTGACCTTAAATAGACTTCGTTCTGGACATTATCCATGTAACAAGTTTGGATAACTTATGAAAAAAAGTTTGTTAACAAATGTAAATTGAATATGTCAGACATTGGTGTGTTTCACAGCATTCTGGCCCTACCGGTCTCGGAAGAGGCTAGAATCCTGTATCGCTTTATATGTCTGCCGCGACTTTCTTCCGAGAATAACATATTACGTTAATTATTGGCTTAGATGATTTGTTAATTTATATAAGTACACGATGGGACTGAAATGTCTGTAAAGATAAAAGTCCTTTAAATAAAGAGAAAAAAAAAATTATGGATTCCATATTTTCGTAGAATGTTTGAATTTGATCGTTATTAAAACGGTTTATTTTCACATTGGTAGGGTACACATTCGCCGTACGGACAAAGTGGGTACCGAAGCGGCTTTCCACCACATTCACGAATATATGACGCACGTGAAGGCGTATTACGACCAACTTCAGCTCACTCGGCTAGTCGACGTCCGGAGAGTATACCTGGCTACTGATGATGCTAATGTGAGTAAATCTATTGTTTCCCCCTAGGAATCGGAGAAGATTTCCGCTGGCCAGCAAAGTGAGGATGGTTGGTGTGGCAGTTTAAAACTGCAGCACCACTTTTCTTTGCGTCTGGACTTTACTGTCATTTAATATCAGGTGGGTAGAGCCTATTAATGTCCCCACTGCTGGGGCACAGGCCTTCCCTATGGTTGAAAGAGCGGCATTGGGCCAGGTCCCACCACGCGGGACCAGTCCGGATCGGTCAGTGCTAACGATGCAGATGCAGCCGGTACCAACGGCATAACGTGCCTTCCGAAGCACGGAGGAACTCGAGATAGAAGATTTTTGGTCATCCATCCAATGATCGACCACTGCGAAAGTTGCTTAACTTCAACGATCGCAGCTGAACGCGCTAACTACCTGCTCCATCGAGCTGTGTGAGTTTATCAATTGTCAATCCCCAAGGATTTCACAGGTTTATGACTTCATCGCAATATCGAGCAATATGAAGGTATGTGAGCTCATGCGACTAGTCTACATCAGGAGGGTATAACGCGAAAATATGGCTGTTGCATGGCATTTCTGCAACTTTTTTGATATATTATACATTTATATGTCAATATTGCAACGCCAGAGTGAAAAGTTGCACCCAGATCACCCAGACAGTCCAGAATGCAGTTTAGATAAATCATTTCCCAAAAGTTTATGCGAATTTAGACTTTTAACGAAAGGAAACTACTTTTCTATTACATTTTCTTTAGATTTATAGATCCACCAGTTAGATGCTGAAATTAAAAATATAACAAACTACTTTTCTGACGTTCACACCTTAAACAGTCTTATCATCTTTGCCGCCAGGTATTAATGAACCAATACGCGAAATATGTGCGTGACTCATTTTTAACTGACTTCAAAAAAGGAGGAGGTTCTGTGTTTGACTGTATATATTTTTTTTATGTATGTTCACCGATTTCTCCTTCAATTGTAGACCGATTTCTAAAATTCTTTCTTTTTATTCGAAAGAGTCCACTTCCGAGAAGGTCCCATTGGAACCAAGTCAGGATCTGATGGTGGATGATGAAAAAATAAAGCAGACTTCTAAATCGAAAATGGAACTAAAGTGTAAAAAATAATATCTGGTTCATGATTTGCAAGTCGGGCGGGGTCAAGATTGAAACACTAAATAGATTTTCGTTTCTGATCGGTAATAATACGTCTTTCAATCTTGACCCGCCCGGCTTCCAAATCATGAACCAGATATTTTTTTTTACTTTTTAGTTCCATTTTCGATTTTGAAGACGGTTTTATTTTTTGTTTATTTCACTAATTGTTATTGGTTCGCTAGCAAATTCTCTTTTATTTAGCATAGATGGCGTTGGTGTTGAGTAGGGAGGCCAACGTTTATATATTTTTGCCCATTCTCCTTTTATTCTTTTTATACTTTGCCTAGGTATCCTACACAATGCCGAATACGTAGACGGCAATGTGTCTTAGAGAAGATTGCGTATCTACTTTTCCTTGTTTTATTTATCTATTATCTATCTGATGGCCTTCTGCGAGTTGGTCAAAAGTTCATTGGTCTGTAATTTATTCGGTGTAATAATATAAGATCCGTCAGCCATTTTATATGCAACTGGGTAGGCTAGGTTAGGTTTGGTTTAGGATAAATACAGGCTTAATCTGTTTATTTTACACATTCCCGGTAGGTGGCCCAGCAGGTAGTTTATACATTCCCTGGGAATTGTACACATTACCTAGGCAAAGTATAAAATGGAAAATAATATAATATTCCATACATTGCCCAGACGCCCCAGGTATTCTATATATAAATACCTATAATAAACAGACTGCCGGTGCAATATATAAATCAAAGGGTTGATGATTATTGAAACTTGTCGTAAAATAGCCTATCTTTATTGTTCTCAGGTATTAGAAGACGCCCGTACCAAGTATCCTGAGTACGAATTCCTGGGCGATCCATCCATAGCTAAGACTGCGGCCACGCATCGCAGATATACGCCGTTATCACTCACGGGGTTACTGTTAGACCTGCATTTGTTGGCCCGCTGTGATTACATCGTATGCACTTTGAGTAGCCAGGTAATATAAGTTCTTAAAAGAGCTTTGTGGGGTTTTTACAAAAACTATAAAAACGCGGGTAATTATAGGTGATTGTGTTGAAACTGTTTGTAATGCTCAAAAATTCAGAAACAAAATAAAATATTAATATTAATGAACTGAAATGAAACTTTCGCATTTGAATACTTTATATTATTATTAACACATGGGTCGAGCCTAGCTCCCTTAATACAAGTTGTCTTGTCAACTTAGTAAGGTAGCTAGTGTTCCAACAACTTGAGCTCCTGTTAGTAATAATTGGATAGCAACCAAATGTACCTCACGATTGTAAAAAATATTTATGATGCAAATAAACTATTATTATTATTATGTCAATTCGTATTTGCTATTTATATTTTTGCCAGCGCTACAACCTTATCACTGTATTTGATTTTATATACCTCTTGTTTGATATATACCTTCTAACATTTAAGTGTTCCGTTCCTCAATAGAAAATAACGGAACCCGTATAGGATCACTTTGTTGTCTGACTTTCTGTCTGTCAAGACCCTTTATCTCGAAAACGCGTGGAGGTATCAAGTTGGAATTTAAACCGTATATAAGCCAGTAGTTGGCTTGACGCTGCGAAAAAATAAAACATAGTAAAAATAAAGTTACTTATATTGCGTACCTACAAATTTGTACTTGGTGCGCGTGTCCGACTCTCACTTGGTCGGTTTTTTCTAAATATAATTGTAAAGGTCATTCAATTTTTAAAATGAAACTTCCACAAATTAGTTTATCCATCTTTATAGTATGTCTCATTACATTTTTCTTTAATTTTGCCCACTTACCAGGTGGGTCGCGTGGCATACGAGATGATGCAGACGAACAGAGTGGACGCTTCGGACAGTTTCTTCTCCCTCGACGACATCTACTACTTCGGCGGGCAGAACGCCCACGATCGAGTTGCCGTTCTACCGCACACTGCCGTCGATACTCAGGATATAGCACTACAGGTCATTATTTAAACGGAAAAAATGAAACGGATATGATATATTTGTGTGTGTGGTGTGTGGGTGAGGGGGGGATGCGTGCGCAGCTCTTCGCGACGAGCATGAAAGTTGGAAGGTAACTCGGCGAAGGCTGAAACGTAACGTGCGTGACGAGCGTCATACGCGACAATATTAAAACAATAATAAAATACATATATATGAGTGATGCGTGCGCTGCTCCATTCACCCATGCCTTATGCCGCCTAATATAAGTTATTAAAGAAAAGAAGTTTCACTTCAGATGTGTGGTTTGTTCACTAATTTTTATACACTCACAGCAATTAGCCTAGTCCCAAAGAAAGCACTGCAGGCTTGTGTTATTGGATACTACGGTAACGGATAGAATACATATACTGATATATATATATTGCCGGTTCTTCTCAGTACAAGATCTCCTGCCGTAGATGGCGTAGCTTCTCGACATTCACAAGTGCTTATAACAGCGTAGACTGAATAAATGATTTTTAATTTGTCACAGGTGGGCGATCTCATAGGTATAGCTGGTAACCACTGGAATGGTTACGGCCGTGGCACGAACAAACGAACTAATATGGTGAGTCGAAATTGAAATTTACTTTGTTAACAATCATTATTTAGAGGAGCTCGATTGAAGATAAGCAACTTTCGCAGTGGTCGGTCGTTGGATGGGTAACCAAAAATCTTCTATCTCGAGTTCCTCCGTGCTTCGGAAGGCACGTTGAGCCGTTCGCCCCGGCTGCATCTGCAGGCGTTAGCACCCACCAATCCGCACTGGGCCCGCGTGGTGGGTCATGGCCCAATCTCCCTATTCCATCCATAGGGAAGGCCTGTGCCTCAGCAGTGGGGATATTAATAGATCGGTGATGGTGATGAGGTGTTTTTTATATATATGTTACCGGCAATCTGTATAATTCGACATTCTATACAATACCCTGGCAATTTATAGAATACCAAAAACGTTAAGGCAATGTATGAAATATAATTCATTTTATACCTTGTCTGAATACCCAGTATTCTATACAATTCCGAATGCGCAGTCGGCAATATGTGTAAGAGAAGATAGCGAATCGACTTTTCCTTGTTTTATTTATCTATTATCTATCAGGTGCATGGCGCTTCCTCGGACACTGCCGCGGCACGATCGGTACAGATTCCCGGTAACATATATATAAAAAAACTCATCACCATCACCGGCCTATTAATGCTGGAGCACAGACCTTCCTTATGGATGGAATAGGGAGATTGGGCCATGACCCACTACGCGGGCCCAGTGCGGATTGGTGGGTGCTAACGACTGCAGATGCAGCCGAGACCAACCGCTTAACGTGTCTTCCGAAGCACGGAGGAACTCGAGATAGTAAATTTTTGGTCACCCATCCAACGACCCACCACTGCAATAGTTGCTTAACTTCAACGACCGCAGCCGAACGCGCTAACCACTTACGCCATCGAGCTCCTCAAAAAAAACTTAACATCGTCTAATACCCTGGGTCAAACTTTACCATTATGCTCTCTCATATTTACAAATTTCTTTTACTTTCAGAACGGGCTAGTGCCATGGTACAAAACCGCGGACCACCTAGTACTGTACCCGTTTCCGGAGTACAAAAACGTACCTCTGTACTCGGACACGCGGCAGAAGGACTTATAGGTCCAGTGACAACTTTTTATAATTTATTATATATCCACTGAACGGGTTATAATTTATTTTGCTCATTACATATTTTTTAAGCAAGGCAACATTGGCATGTGTAATGTGGCAACGTGTTATATCTGAGACCGTTGAAGGTGTATTAAAAACCCCATTTGTTGGTAAATACTTCTTGTTTGTATTGTCTAGTCAACGGCACTTTGGATATAAATCTCAAATTCTCTCAATTGATTATAAATTTTACACAGACGCGTTTAGGTCGAAAATGGAATGCCGTTGACTATACAAAGTTAGAAGTAGCTCACACTGTTATGTACAAAGAGTTTATGTAAGTGTCGTTTATAAAACGAAGTGTCTAGTTGGTTATGGCACAATATAAGTACTGTGCGTTATTATTTAGAAAATCCAATTTACATTATTTCAGTTTGATTTCTTTCTTTCCTGTTCTACAGGCCCGTATTACAGAATGACAACTAAGTGTTGATCTTTACTTGAGTGCAGTTAGAAAGGGATGTCGCTATGTGCTATATATAGCGACATCCCTTTCTAACTATGCTCAAGACTAGATCAATCACTGAGAATCTTTCTATAATACGGGCCTAATACTATCATGAGTAGAGCGCCAACTTTTCCTTCCACCAATGTGTATGCATCACGTTTAACAGCTGGCTGGTGGCTTTAACAACTCTTTACTGGAATAATCATAATTCTGTGATTTTTTGTGATTCTTTTTAAATTAACCGTAACAGGCTATTTGTCAAGTTTTTGAAAACCTTCATACGTTATATATAAGTGTATAGTGACTCCATAAAAATGGATAGGTATTTATAATACTGTTGCGTATATCAGGTATATCAAAAAAAAACGAAAATAAAAACTATGTTTTCAAATATGCCTCGGAAACGTTTCTCTGGCAAATACGGCGCCTTACAGGCTGGTGACGTCACATGGTTCTCATTAATATGTTAAAAACGAAAATAAAAAAAAAGTTTTCAAATATGCCGCGGAAACGTTTCTCTGGCAAATACGGCGCCTTACAGGCTGGTGACGTCACATGGTTCTCATTAATATGTTAAAAACGAAAATAAAAAAAAAGTTTTCAAATATGCCGCGGAAACGTCTCTAGCAAATATGGCGCCTTACAGGCTGGTGATGCCACGCTGTTCCACTTCTGATGAGACAGCATGTTTACAAGCAGGTGACGTCACTTTATGTACGATTCACACTTACGGAGCCGTAAGCCGACCGGAGCCGTCTAACGGCTAAAATCCGTTTGAATCTGAGAGCATCTGTAGCTTGGGTTACCACCCGTCCGGACTTTTTGCCTCTGGTCCGCACTTTGTCCGGATTTTTTTAATTAGATGGAATATGAATAAAACTACTTATTAGGTTATTTCAAATAAGTCAAATGATCTTTATTAAGTTCTCATTAATTTAAAATAAAATATAATTTATCTTTAAAAATCAACAACGAGACCCCCTCGCGATGCTAGCGTCTGCTACCGTGTGTATAATATCACTGTAAATAAGTGGGTGATGTAAGCATTTTGTGACTAAAATGCCTGGACTTTTATCGAAATATCCGGCTTTTTGTAAGGACTTCAAATAGTAACCCTATATGTAGCTCATACTGGCGCATCTTACGGCACGCTCTCATGAAGTGACTATTAGTGCTATACTACCATGACGCAGTATCCGAACGGCGCCGACCGGATTCGTCGGTAGTATCTAGTTTCTTTGAAACACAAGTTATAGAAAAAAGGAATACATAGGAGCATAGAATGTGAAAAAATATATTTTATGTAAAAAAATCATTTCTTTAGTGATAATAATGAAGGAGGAATCAGTCGATAACGTTTGCATGGAAAAAACATTGCCCTTAAATACTACATACATACAATACATTGGAACTTTAATACTTTGTGGATGTTTCAGTTTTCTTCAGATATACAGGGCGTCCCACGGAATTGCTACACGTAGGGAAATTACATCAAATATTGAAGATAGGTTATTTTACTGAAAGAAAACATCATTTTATTTTTAATAATAAGCTGAAATGCCTGCTCAGTTTTTTTTAAATCTCCTGCCACAACCGGGAATCAAACTTGTGAAATGCTTCGACGCGGCCCGGTAGGTATGAATCGTACATCCGCCATTTCGGTCACGTGACAATAGATATAAAAGTACTTTTCTATTTTATAATATGTAGTATCATTTTGGCATGTTAAATACACATGCCAAAAATGATACTTTATTTTTCATACTGCCAAATAGTCTTTTACTCACTTAAGACTTGATCTGTCTCAAAGCAATATGATGAAACTTACTTTTTTTATAAAATATTCTTTGGTGTGTGTATCGATCTGCGTTTTTTTAAAGGAAATGTTATTACTGACATTGAAAGGACTAAAATAACAGTATTTCTTGTCAATGTTCATATTGTATTGTAGTATACTTTCTACAGTATAACTAAAGCCCCGTATAATTATTTACTTTAACGAGAGAATTTTGAATGTACTGAAAATTCGTTAGTTAGTGGTTTGCAATAATATGTTTAATGTTGTATTTTTTACATTTAAATATAAAAAGTTTTCAAAAACCATATGAAACTGGTTCTTTTATACTTATACTAGCGGCCCGCCCTCGCTTCGCTTCGGTGTAGAGATGAAGTGTAGACTACAGTTTTTGTTCTCAGGCTTATATTATACACAATGACATTCATCTATGATTCTTCTTATACCTGCATGCAAAGTCTCAAAGTCAAGTTTAAAATTGACAAAGTTTCATACAAATTTTCATTCCCTATTTTATCCCCTTGGGGGTAGAATTGATCAAAATCCTTTCTTAGCGGATGCCTACGTGATAACATTTACCTGCATTCCAAATTTCAGCCCGATCCGTCCAGTGGTTTGGGCTGTGCGTTGATAGATCACTATGTCAGTCAGTCACCTTTGAGTTTTATATATATAGATTACCTATTTCTTATTTATTCACGTACACTAATCATTTTTAAAAAAAACTTTTCTTTTACCCGTTCAAAAAGTGTTTTATTAAATGATTGGTTCTTATATTTTTTCCACTCATATTTAATACTCGTGTTTGTCCCGTTATTGTTTATTTTTTTAATATATTTTGAACGTTCCTTTATTTCGCAAGTATTACATTCCGATGGTTAAGTTCCAATGTCGATTAGATTGTAATTTTTACTATAATAATGGCTCTCAGAGGCACTTGAATCAAGCGTAATTGCAAAGTTATCCAAAAGTATGTGACATTTGTAAACATTCATTTTATGTCGTAAAACACTTAAAGGGCAACAAAGCACACACAGTTCACTTTAATTTCAATTATTTCTATTTATTTATTAATTTACTTTCTCACTCTTATTATTAAACCGAATGGTGATTTTACCTCACGAGTATGATATACAAAAAAATCTTGTGTGATTTTTTTCTCTTGAATCAATGTAACTCAGATAACAGAACAAAAGGAAGATGTGGTGAGCACGGAACACGCAATACGTGGCACCGTAGCAAATACAAAGTCAAAAGTGAAATCAATTCGCATCAGTACACTATAACGCGATTCAACTAAGAATAGGACTGGCTGCGCGCCATTTTGTGACGTCATAGCTGTCAATTTAAACCAGTTAGGTAGAGTGAGCAAAAAAGTTTTGGTTTAACAAAACTTATTTACAAAGATTAAGTGAGAAATAATATCATAATAATAGAGAAATAATAGTGAATATTAAGTTATTACACTTAACTGTGCACATTGTAAAAACTGTTCACAAAGACAAAAAAGTCTTTACTTTTGACTTCGTAATTTCTTTGGCTGCACTTGCGTGTTCCGTGTTTTCATCTGCCTTTTTTCTGTAATCTGAAAAATATAAACACAAATTCGTTTTGTTCTTTCACAAAGGGAGTAATGCGAACTGAACATATTTATTATTCTATTGAAACAGAAAGCTATCTCAAAATAAAAAAAAACTGTGATAAAGTATTCAACATTAAGCAAGTAAATTTTATTTTAACTCGGGTAACTCAACTCAGTAAAATTATTTTGTTAAGCTTAAATTGCGTTTATTAGGATTAAACATTGGATTGAAAACTCAAACGCACCATATGAACTGAGGATATTTTATTTATTTCTTTTAATTCTGAGATTTATGATTTCTCTTTTTTGTATGTTTGAAGCCAATTTCGTACCTAATTTTATTAATTTTCAGTCGATTAGTATGCTGTATACTTTGTCAACAAACTTCTACGTAATTTGCATGGGTATAGTAATTATATTAAATTTGAAAAAATAATTCTTGTATGCATTTTCAGAAGCCATATTTTATAAAAAATAGTTTATGTGTAACGAAGTACTGTTTAACACATATTGGTCTTGTAGTTACACAAACCATTTTTAGAACACATTTTTGTAAATAGTTTGGTCGACTCTATTGGACTGTCAACTTTTTTACATATATTTTTGTTATGTCCGTTGAGTAGCTCTGGAATAGGACATTATTTGATTCAAAAAGTTGTTCAATAGGATATTTTAATAAATTCGTGTTATTTTAATAAAATTAAGGACAGTAAACAACCGAATTAATTTAAATGTCGAAAGCTACAACGCTTTTGCGGTTTTGCATTATTTTGTAACGATAATAACAATATTTGTCTATATGAAAGGTTTAATGATTTTCAGTTGAATGTTTCTACATGGTGATATTAAAATTTTCGAATGTAAATAAAATATATAGATACAAATTTTACCATCATAAAAAAATCCGTGAAAAATGAGAAATTTTAGTTATTTCATTTAAAACGATTATACATTTATTAACAGGTCTCAACACAATGTATGTCTGAACAGTGTTTTGAAATATGACAAGAGGTGTTCAATATATTTTTTCATGTGAAAGTTTCTACTGTGTCTATGAATATACGTACCTATTTTTTTTACAGACCGATGATTTTATACGCTACAAGCTGATAATATATATAATACACAATAAAGTTCAGTGAAGGCCTCGTTATTGTTAACAAATCGATATAGAAAGCGCTTTTATTACTTACGAATGAGAACGTTATTCGTAGAGCAAATGTACCTTTATATTCTCACGGCCATCACTGTACATTCTCCAATGATATTAAATACTCCAGATACACCACGAGCTCTCAAAATGTGTCCCAATTAAGAAGTGCTTGAACTCCACTCAAGCACTTCTTGGTTCACAGTCACGCGCGGACCGTTACAAAGTCAAGATGCCACAGAGCTCCGCGAAAAAATGCAAAAATAATACTTAGAGTACGAAAAGTGTCATTTCTTAGACAGGTATCTAGTCAATGTTTGTTAATTTAAAGTAACCTTTGAAGTAAATTCTGATCTAATACTATAAACTGATTAAATGTAAAATATTTGTGATATCCAAATGCACTGTTGGTTATACGTCGCCATATAGCCGTCTCTATTTCTCGTGGTTCGTGCCTGCTATATTGCTAGCAGCGCGTTCAGAATTGCGCGTAGAGTCAAAGAACTAATGTCTAAATTCTTTCGCATATAGCAATAATTCGTAAAATTTTACGAGCTTGCATTTCGAACTGTCAGAAGTCCTTGGCGCATGCGTTTTATTTAAGACCTTATACAGTATGTATTTAAGGTTACTTTCAATAT